CCACACAGACAGATTTTCTCCATGACGATTCATCCCTAACCTGTTCTTTCAGGTCTCCCAATGGTGCATTCACTATAAGCGAGTCCATCCACCTTGCCACCATGGGGACTATACAAAAAGGTTTTCAAAAGTCACACAGTCTGTATATTTTAATATCTATATAGTAGACAAGAAGCTAAAGTTAAGACAGTTATGATGCACCCCCACCCCCCTTCCCCAAGATTAATCTGCTGGGTTTATAGCAGAATAGCATTTCAAGGAATTCCTAGTTCACAAATTTCAGCCCTAACCATCTTTTTCCCAGGAAGGAAAAAAATTGGCAAAGATTACAGTCCCTACATTATGTATCAAATAGTACTGGAAATGGTGGATTATTATAGTACTTCTGTGCAACTCCTGGCAATCTCAAACCAGTAATACACATTTTTAAATGAAGTATTTCCCACAGTACTTCCTTAATGCAGTCTCATCATGGCACGGAGGAAACATGCAACTGTAATAAAATACATTTCAAAATACTGCGATTTTAACACTATGTCATTATGAAAACTGAATGCCAATCTTAAGGACAGAGGCGCAACATACAGATTCATTTTAACCAGTTTAACTCTTGAGGATTCCCACTTGTTTCTTTAGAAGCTAAAATTCTTTCATCTGCCTTTTCATGCTAGGATATCTTTTTCATTTCCGGCATTTTCAGAGGAATGCAGGATTCCATAGCAAGAAACAGGATTTGATAACAAAATTCCTACCCTATGATGAAAATAGGAAATGACAAGTTGGAAGTCTTTTTTTTAATATATGCTTTGAATGTCTGATTACGACCCCAGTGGTCAGTAAAACTGCTCTCTCTTTGAACACAAAAATTCAACTTCAGATTTTGCTTTTCTGCAGTGACATCTGGAATCTCTGCCTCTGCTTACAAACTGGAGAATATAACAGACTTTGACTTCTTGAATATAAAATATTGAAAATTCAGTGCCTGCTTGAAGTACTTTAGCATCGCTTTCCCAACCAAGTATTCTCAATATGTGCTAGAACACACTCCCATTATCGATGACCATGTGGGATAAGGATTATAGTCCAACATATCAAATAAGCGATTCAAGGAAGTGTCAAATTTAATTTTAAATAGTGTGCATAAGGCCTGCAGTTTTAGAAAAACAATCAGCAACAATGAATATTGTTTGCCAAGTACTTAATCACACACACACACACACAAACACACATACACACATCCCCAAAAAGAACACAGCAAGTGTGTGTGACAAGTTTTTAAGCACTTTTTTTTTTACTTGCACTTCAGTAACTGATGCACTAGGTGTGCACAAATTCAACACTGGCTTTACAAAATTAGACCTAAGCTGACTTTAAGCAAGTTTTTGATTTGTATTGGCTTCCATATACAAAGCAAGTTATGGGTCTTCCAAAAATCTTCCTTCTTTCATTTCATGAAAAGGTTATCTGTTTAACAACGTAAGCCATCACAGATTCCTAAAAAAAGAGCCCTGTGTGGTATTATGGTTAAGATGTTGGATTAGCACTGGAGAAACCCAGTTCTAGTCCACCCTCAGCCATGGAAGCGCACAGGGTGACTTCTAGGAACCTAAGAGTCACCCCCTCTCAGCCCAAACTAACTCATTAGGGTTGTTGGAAGGACATCACATCCCCATGAAAGCCACTTTGAGATTGTGAAGAAAAGGAAGCATACAAATCTAGTAGGCACTCTTCAGCTCCTATACTGAATCAGATGAAAATACTTTCAGCCATATTCTGAAACCAGTTTTTCATCTAATATACTGCTTTAAGTAGGTACAGATACTGTATCCCAAAGCAGCCCTCAAATTTTCCCA